CTTTCATAAATATCCTCTTCTTACATGTCCATTTCCAGTAACAAATAAACCTCTTAAAAAAGAATAAATAAATCAAGGCACCACATCTACTAGTCTTTCTTGCCTCAAGCATAACTACTTCTGATAAACTTTTAACCTAAACTCTCAAGATTATTGACAATATCAAAGAATCACAGAAAATATGTTTCTGTTCATATTTGAATATATGAAACCTCTCCCTTTTTTCCCTATGCTATATTTGGATCCCCTAGAAACTTCTGAAGACTCTAGTGATTGACTTTTGTTCCAGATTTAAATAGTTTAGATATATACCTTGATAAAATACATTAATTTTAGAGGCCCTACTACACTTCTGAGTAAAATTTTCCAGCAAATCACACTGTAACATCAGACTTTTTTAGGATCTCTTCCACTGTGTTTTTTGTTGACCTCTTTCAACATGACACCATCTAAAAGAACTAATTATCATCCTTTCTTGTTGATTCTTCCAAATTAATGATAATCACTGCTTAATATCTATTTATGTCTCACTCCTCTCCAGTATCTGTTTTACCTGGATTAGAAACTGCATTACCATGTCTAGCATATTCACTCATTTAATTATTTTGAATTCTGACTGAAGTAACGCTTCCACATTGATTAATAACTTTGTTACTTACTGTCCAATGTTTGACAGATGTCCAAAATTCTTTCATTTTAGTGATTTTGTTAAGTATTGAGAATTTACATTTATATATCAAGCATAGAGAACAGCTGAATTCAAATAGCTTTCAACTGATGTCAGGAAACAACCTGCCCAAAGGGATGTGCTTCCTTTTAATCCCAGTCAGTAGTGGCAGGAGTAGCTAGCTATACATGATTTTACCAATACTTCATTTATTTTCCTGCTCCAAGAGGGTTGCTATATTTCATTCCCAATTACAATACACTAGTGCCTCCTTGCAATTCGGTACACTCCTTACAGGTCAGAAAGTTAATCCGACCCTTTCTTATTCCATACATAACAGACAGAAATAACATTAATTTTTATATATATATACACACATATATATACACACACACACACATATATATATACACACACAAACACATATATATATATACACACACACACACACAGTATGCCTGGATTCTCAAATCAACAGCTGTATTTAAGTGTTCTTCCATACATACTGGCCATAACTCTTTTCCATATGCCATTTTTAATCCCAAAAAAATAAAGCTGATTTGACAGTATGAGATCTCAGGGTTTTTTTAATTTCACAAATTGAAAATAGATTTTATTTTTTTTTCAACTTACAAGGCAACAGTGTTAGACACAGATTCAACATCTGACCTCAAAGCTCAAAACCCCAAAGAAATCTGGGAAAATAATGGGGATTTACAAAAACAATCTATAAAATTGTGAGGTGGTACAGTGGCAACTGAGTTGAAACACCTCATTCTAATTTCTACATCTGTTGTAATCTCCTATAAATGTACGGTCACAAGCAGAATATGGATATTTAAGAGCAATAGCAGAACCTGGTGAAGATGGACCAACAGTGACAGCAAACACTACACAAGCTATCAAGAAGAAAATATTACCTCAAAATTGGAAGACTATCTTCTAATGTTTGCTAACCATCTCAGTAGGAGTAGGCAACTTAGTAATCCTTGTTCCTAAATATTCATGACACTCAGCATAGGCATTTATAAACATTACACATTTTCTTGACTCTGACGGCCAAGACCATGCTCACTCACTGCATCTCCTTGTACTTACTCACCAGACTTTAAGGTTCAGTTAGAGCAAGTCCTGCCTCCATTCATGTTAAAATAAGTATAATATAATTTTTGTCCTTCAGTCAACTCTTTTTGTTACTTGATACTCAAATTCTGGATGTCTTCTAACCAAAGGTTTCCACTAGCAGAGAAAGGGCAGTATGTGAGCCCGTGTTTAGATCTTGCATTTCTTTCCCCAGACTCCACAGCTGGCAGCAAACCTACAATCCCAGGAGGACATGCTACATATCAACAGCCTGCCCAAACCTACCAAGCAGGTGTCCCCAAAACAAGAGACAGTACAAGGGAAGTAAGGCAGGGCCACAACTTTTACTTCACCCTTTAGGCAGCATAAATGAATCCAGCTGCTCGTATGCCAGAGGCACAAAACACCACCAGCAAACCCACGATGATGCTTATTCAAAGAACTACAAACATAACAATTTTGGATCAGGTATCACATAAGCATGGAGGGAAACAATTTTACAGGAAAAATGTCTTTAAAGAGCTCAACAACAAATGAAACAAATTTAACTGTGAAAATATGCACAGAGTTTTGAATGTCTCTTGGGTAAAATTCTGTTTCAAAGAAACCAGCATTTTTCAGGCAGAGGTAAGTTAAGACTCATTTCCATTTTTGATTTCTCTCAACAATTAGAAGGTTCTTCCTCAGATAAATCATTAATACAGGCATATACGTGAGGGACAATATAGTTTAGGAGAATTGAATTCAATTAATTGGCCCCACAAGACTTTGTTACCTTTCTTAATATACTTTATGTCCCACGGGCCACAGAGCTGTCTGTTTAGCAGCTTCAATACATTCTCCCTGTGCCAATAAAGCCATCTAATTTATTTAGAATTCTCTAGGCACAGTGGTTTTGCTTTGCTGATATCAAGACATAACTTCTGTTAGTTTTGTCAGTCATTTTGAAGCTACAGTCTACAGAGGAAAAAATCTCTATGGCTTTAATTTACTCATCTTTGTCAGACAAGGCATCCTATATAACTGCTGCACAGACAGAGAGCAGGCTGTTGCCCTCATGGTGGGAAATAAACTACACAATTCAATTCTAGTTAAATGATTTAGAGCAGACACCACAGCAAAGACATGGGAAAGAGGTTAAAGATCTCTTCCCCCATATCCTCCCAGAAATGCACTCCAACATGCCACAGAATTTACTACAGACTTCACTGTGTATTTAATAGGATTTTAGAGCACTTTGGCTGCAATTTCCTCTTTCACATTCAGCTACACATGACTTAAGTGAGCTCAGCTCATTCCTCTGCACACATATGTGCACAATACACAGATGTGTCTCCTGTGACAACCTCAGTACTTCACAAAACATGCAATTCTCAAATTGTAGAAAGACAAACAGATAACCAGACTGAAGCAACCCTTACCAGACTGAATATAGGTAAATAAGCAAACTAGTTATAGAAAATATTTCTACAGCTGATGGTCTTGTAGCTAACTACACTTCATTCTTAATTGAATCTGTTAAACTTGACGCTATTGCAGGTAAAGCATCAAACCTGGAAGCATATCAGGGCTAAACTTCTTAAGATTCATGTAATCTTTCTGTAGATTTTTTTAGAATCTCAGTAATTTAAACACTCAGCATTAATCCATTCTTCTGTCCGAGCCATATAATAACTTTATAATTATGTGCTCTTTTTAATGCAATTAAAAGATGATAATAAAATTCAGTTCTCTATGTCTACATAAAAAGTGATAGAGAAGAAAATGGGAAATAAGACTAAATAACTAAAAAGTTTACTAACGTAAATGCAATGTACCATCAGCTCACAAGTCTCTTTACAAACAGAAGCACTAAAAATGGCTGTGAAATAGTACAATTTAGCAGCTGGCAAATTCAATTTTAGAGGGTATCAGCCACTCATAAATTTCATGGTGTGTGGTTTTAAAAAGCACAAGTAGTTTGTGCCACTCTCATTTTATAATTTATTCTCATTATATCAAACAAGAATGGGAGAAATTGGGTGAGAAAGCTTATAGCAAAAATAATCTGACTTTTTTGTTCACTCCTGAATACTGCTGACCCCTAAATATGACTTTTTGCTTTAGTCTGCGAAGAAGGAAAATTTCCAAGGCAACACCAGTTTAGTTGGCTGATATATACTGAAACTATTGTATCAGTCAAGCAACAATTAAGGCTTTATCTTTCCTTTTTCCTCTGTAAGAAGTAAATTCTGAAGATTATATGGGGGGGTGTATTTGCTTTTCTAATTAAAATATCATAAAAGATTATATTCAAAGCTGAATATCACACAAGGCTGTTAAAGAAACTAGAACATACAAGACTATTATTATTCAGGTATTCCAAATTTTACACCCATATGAAGAAACAAGGCTAGGACAGAGCTATGTTATATAAAGTCAACACATGTTTTCAGCACATACTTTTTCCACTGGTATATCCTTGAGACTCTTGTAAATACAGTATCACCAAACACAAATAAATCCATCTCCACATGGATTCATCTCCAGGACTGTCTTATGCAAAGTCAAATGCACTAATTGAGATTAGTAAACTGATAGAATAGAAATAATCTTATTGGCTTGTCCATATTTTAAACTGCTACAGAGACAGATAAAAGTGAATGCTAATCTTCATAAACAGAGATGCACTTCATGAATGAACAATTTCTCCCAGGTGTTCTCTTGATTACTCCAATACTTGTTGAATGTGTCCTAGATAGCCAAATACTGATGGATCTGTTTCATTAGCAACTGGTTACATCATTGAACAGTTCAGAGCAATGGCACACATAACCTCAGCAAATCACATCAGGACTCCTACACAGATCATTTCTAGTTAATTTACATCCTCCACATACATTTAAAGTGACATGCTTTGAATATTGTGCTGATGTTTGTCTTTGAATCCACTTCTTTTTGCAACATACAGTTTTCAGCGTTAAGATCAAGTATAAAACTCCTTTGCTACTTTTAAGTCACACTAAGCTAGTACCTTTTGTATTGCTGTGACTGTATGTCTGGGAATATTTATTTCCTTTTGCACATTATTTAAAATAGTTGGCAGCAATTTCATTCATCAGTGGTTCTTCCGATATAATTTCTTTGTCATATGTTTTCCTTTTAAGACTAATGCATTTTAGTAATGAATTAGCTTGAGATTCAAGCTCTGCTGATTTCTAACAGTGCTACTGTTAAGAAGAATGATCACAAAATATAGACAGACAAATACCTTGCTTTTTTCTTGCTGAAATTCTATCTGGATGTTAGTTAGTTTAGTTCGTAGCTCCTCATTAGCAGCTTGCAGGGCTTCAATCTCCATGTCGGACTTTTCTCCCTTCACACGACTTTTCTTTGACATAATTATTTTTGAAGTTTAAAATAAAATTTTTGCTCCACACTGAGCTACCAGCTAGTGCCTTCTGCTTTTAGCATTTAAGAGTCATGAAGTGTTCAACAAAATCTTTCATACAAATCTCTGACATCATGGGAGCAGTCTCTCACGTCCTGGAAGAAACAAAGTAGTGGAAACAGAATTAGGCTACAGCATTGAACAGAATCAAACATCAAACTTAAGATTCAGCTTTAAAGCATGCTGAACTTCATTGTAGTATATACACTATATTGCATAGTGTACTAAACTTTGAAAGAAATAGATCAGAAAATAAGTTATATAATATTTTATTATCTTATCTAAACCCTATCCACTGTAATCTGATGTCCACAGAAATAAAACTCTGTACAGTTATGATGCATATAGCATATAAACAGAAATCATATCTTATTGAAGACGTCTCTTGGTCCATGCTTTGGTCCATGACCAGGATTGCCAGGAGGCAGAGGGACAACCATAGACTAACTGAGGCTGGTGGTGTTTCAGTGGTAATAATTTCCTGTAGTAAGAAGAAAGCACTTCTCACCTTAATGTATCAGTTATAATTCATAATTGTATTATCACTGAGTCTCACAGCATCAGGATACATGGAGAAGGTATCACAAAACTGGAAAATATTTTGAAATTTCTTCTTAATAATATCATATATACAAACTGCTTATGTTCAGGGTTGATACTGTTTGAAATACTCTAATCAAAACTTGAAGGTATTTAACTTTATTTTCACTCCCCAGCATGCCTCTAAGCTTAAAAACTATTCAATTATTTAAATCAGCTTTATTTAATATTCAAGTAGAATATCAATAGCACACAAAGAACCCTAGTTCCAATAACTAGGAAATCCACCAATTAATTTGCTTCATGAGTAGTTAGCCCAGTTTTATCTTCCCTAGATACATCTTCCAGCCTCTCTATACACTCATAGAGGCACAAAGCCCAGACACACAAGGGCTACAGCAGAAGAGAATACATCTTGATCCCTGAATGAAAGGGTCAGAATCAGCGAGTGCCTAGATTCCCTTCTAGTTGACCATCCACATTTACTATTTGGATAAAGGTCAGGATAAAAAAAATAAAATAGAACTTGTAAACACACTGAGAATAATGGAAAAAATATTTTACTCTGACAAAATTTGACCCAGAACTTTCAACCAATAACCTATTTCTTAGCTCACCATATATCAGTTGAGAGGCAAGTTCATGAAGACACCATGACACAGTCCCACAGTCACTCCATGAATAAAAACAGCCACTTCCTGTGCTGTGAGTTCTACACACTTATTGCAAATTTAAGATCATTTGAATATATTTTATATTTATTTAAAAAAGAGGATAGGAAGGACTAATGGATTCTAAATCACAATTCGTCTTTTCAGCAGTCTCTGGTTGTACCAAATGTCTCACTTTACTTGACAGGTACAGGGGCACTTGTAATCCCAGAAAGAACAAGAAAAGAAATAAACATGATTGGGTTTGAAACAGCTGTTCAACAGTTTGGGGGATTAGCATATGAGAGATAAAATTATTTAACATAATTAATAAATTATTACTCCATTTCTGTTAAATGTTTGGGGAAATCCATTAAATTTCTAACATATCTGTAAAACCTGAACAGTGTTCCAGTCATAACTTACAATTTCTCTTTTATTTGCTTTACAGATTTAAAGGATGTACTTTATCACTACCTCAATCTTTTCCCTGGTTTTATCAAGAAAGGCCTAGAACTAAGTCATTAATTGCTATATAATGCTTCCAGATATTAAATATCAATAAACATAACAGTAAGAAAGAAAAATTACTGCAAAAAATGTGAAAATGTAGCACCAAATAATTTTGATCACTTAAGAGTAAGAGAAGAAGGAACTTAGTAGTTTCTCATGAAAAATAACTCCACTTAAAGAAAAGCAAACCTTTAAACATGATTTTGTACTGAATACATGAAAATAAGTGGAGGCTTATATCTTTAGAGAATGAGTCTTACAGCAATGAACAGTAATCAAGAGGAATAATAAGTACCCCCATAACCTCAAGTAATAAATAACATGGTAACAAGAAAAAATTACTAATTGATTTAATCCAAAATTCAGCATTCCAGTCTTGATTCAGACTTGAACAACTTTATTCAGCTTCAACATGATTTTTGGAAGGTGTACTTGTTAATGGGTCATCTCAGCTGAGACACCAAGTAAAGGAAAACATAGGCACAGGGAATTAAAAAAAAAAAAAAAGCTTCTTCATCTAGACACTTTGTCTCCATAGAAATAGTCTTCTTTCCATTTTACTTCAACCTTTCTCTTGTAATCTAACTCTTATTATGCTTGTGAAAAAGTACATTCTAAGTACAGCAGAATGCTGAATATTCAAGAAGTTTAAAACAAATTTGATTACCCTAGCACCTGACAACAGTAAATTCAGTGGACACAGGTACAACGTCAACTTCAAAAGTAACTACCAGTTCACCTATGCTATAGTTTAAAAACCAGTCACAATCAATCAGTGACTGTATGGGAAATGTTCATAGCTCCCAACGCCCAAGGCACATTTCTGACAAGGTTCAGATGACCTACATTTCCAGCTTCATTTCTCAGGTCTATGTAATAAAAGCTGACTGAATGGATGAAAGCAAAATCATCTCTACAGGATGTAAAATAATACTTTTCACAGCCAAAATATACAAATACAAATTATCAGAATAATTTTCCAAGTATATTGTAGACTAGTTGCTTTTTAGATACCCATTCATTAACTACCTACAGAGATAGATGTCTTTCTGTAACAGCAGACCTTTTAGGCGTTATTCTAAATCCTATCCTGCTTAGGGAATTGCAGTTTCCTTACAGTGGAACATTTCTGTAAGTGCCACTTGTGATTTTTTTTTGGTGGATAAAACCAAAAACATCTTTATTGTTAACTCACAGCTCCACATTCATTCTTGCAAATTCACAGTCTACACTCCGGAGCCATTCTAGCTTTAATAACAATACACCTATAGGTCAAAATTGTGTGGAAAACAATCACCAGGAAGCTCTAAGTATTTTTAACTGTTATTTTGCAGAAAGAGCTCATAGTAACATAATCCTGTTGAGCACAGCTGAACAGGGGTAACTTCCTTGCTTGGGAGAGATTACAGTGTAGCATAAACCAGGCTTTCATGACACCTCTCTCAGAAGGTTTCAGAGCAGGTGATACCCTGCAGATGAGCATATTTGTAAGTCAGTTAGCCCTTCAGCCAAGGAGAGTAACTGCTTCCATTATTTTTTTCAATGGCATCTCAGGAAAGGTGATCTGCTGAGATTCTGTATCTCCACAGTCTTTCAGAAAATTCCCACTGCCCTCAGGAATCGGTACCCACATTTTAACACCCCATCAAAAATCACTGCTTTCCAGGTCCTCACAGAGCAGTTAACAGAACTAGAGTTTCAGAGTTAATTTCATCAGTGTGTTCATTTTCACTTCAGTTAAGTGGTTGCCTGTTTCATGTATGCATCTGTTAAAACACATGCAATTAAATTATGTTTCCAAGTCATGGCATACCACAAAAAAAATAAAAATCAAACTGTATCAAACTCATTTAAACCCTATACACATCCTCAAATAAAAGGTGTGCAGACAACCATGTAACACTGAATAATTATTTTTGATTGGTACTACTGCAGGCCATTGGATACCATACAGTAAATTAATGGCCTCTTTCCAGTCAAAGGACATAACCAGCCCATTCAAAAAAACAAACAAACAAACAAACAAAAAAAAAACACAAAAAAAAGCGCTCTTAATTTAACAAGAAATTATCACAAGTTAATATACAGTAAAAGGGAATGTTTGAGCTGAAGAGAACAAGGCTGAGAGAAGTGAAGGAATCACAAATGCATTTAGTCACCAAGATTAATTTTATTACATATACATTTTTTTAAAAATCCGTGTTAAAGCTATTTACAAAAGGGACAGTACCTTCAACAATCCTTGCAAGCCATTTAGAACAGGAATCACAGAATAGTTACATGATGGAAAAGTATTTAAATGAACAACAGGTCTCTGATTTTATGGATTTTTTTGGAGTGCAACTGAAGGACCAGTTCAAAAATGTAACTTCAGATGGCCTATTTACTGACTACAGACAAATGTCATTGCCATTCACTGCCAAACAACAGCAGAAATGCAATCTTTTGGGTGCAAAAATGCTAACCTCAGATATGAGACCCCTGTCTAATATCCTAAAACGGATAATCTCCTCAAATGGCTACAACTGCTCAGGTCAAAGCTACTGGAACAGCAGAGAACAATCAAAACAACAAATTTACATAATGGGATGGGAACAAAAAGCAGATGCAAATATGCACAGCAAATGTGTTTGCACGACACCACAGCTTATTTGGAGACATCTATGTAGTGCCTGGTGAGCAGTACAGCTGCCTTACATAGTCTTCATGCAGAAAAGTGGTGGGAAGCATTGACTCCACTACAGCCCCCCTGTGAGAGGAAGTAAACCAGATCTCCTCCAAACTGCTGCTGCCAAATACCTCCTCCAGCTCAGCTGGCCCCTTCAAGACTCCATAGATGCCCTCTGCAACTCCCTTTCTGCACTACACACCACCTTAATATACTATGAGTTACAGAAACCTTGATTTAAATCTCTTCTCAAAAAGTTAGGAGATTGATGCCAGGCCTTTAAAGTAAATAAAAAATATTCACTGGCATCAATGAATGAACATTCTTTATCGATATTTACCCAATTTCACCTTGTAGCTCTATTTTGTGGATTAACCATTAGAATCACCCTACTACCCATATTAAAAGGCAAACTGCTGCAAACAGCAGTCTCATGACACAAATAAAGACAGACATCAGTACAAAAAGACAAAGATGAAATGCAACTACGATAACAAAAGAAAGCCCTCCCTCCACAACCTTACAAACTCAGCTCACTTATAGTTAGACCCCAGAGAGGCAGCTCTAGGCAGAGCTGTTCCTGATCTGTGTCAGTTCCTTTCTTTTGAGCACACACGGAGACCTGACAAGATGCATGCTGTCTAGTGCAATGCATGTCCAGCCTGCTACCCCTCTGACAGCAGCCTGGGTGTGATGCGGGGAGATCCCTGGGCTTTCACTGAGG